GTTCAATATAACGTCCGATTGAACCCAAGTCAATTTTGTTACCCTTTTTTTTAAAACCTTTTTTACTTCAATTTTATTAACTCTTTTTACATTACCTTTCCATTTCTTATCTTTTGTTCATTTTTGTCCAAAAGTGAAAGTTACATCCACTAAGTCCAAATAAAGAATGTCAAGCATTGACTTAATCTGAGAAATGAGCCTTTCAAGCCCTTTTCTACGGGAGGGGGGGAATTACAAAGGAATAGGCAAACTCATTTACAAGCAATAATGAATTCTAAGTCAAACTCAAAGAGAGCGATAATGATTAGTCAAACTCAAAGAGAGCAATAATGACTAACCAAACACTACAAGAAAAGTGGGCTTACAAGATGAAAGCATTTGCGACAACACACTTGTCGTCTCAAAAAGTGACTTTTTATGATGGCACAATTTGCTGTTGTGAAAAATGTGAGTTTTTGCGACGGCACAATTTGTTGTCGCGAAAAAGGTGAGTTTTTACGACGACACAATTTGTTGTCGCGAAAAAATAGAGTATTTGCGACGACAGAAAATGCTGTCGCAAAAAAAAAGAGTATTTGCAACAGCATAAACTGTTGTCGCAAAAACAAAAAGAGTATTTGTGACGGCAGAGATTGCTGTCGTGAAAAAATAGAGTTTTTGCGATGGCACCAACTGTAGTCGCAAAAAAAAAGTGAGTTTTTTGTGACTGTAATAGGTACTGTTACAAAAAAAAAGAGTAAAAATAAAACATATTGTGGCTTTGAGATAGCTTCATATATATACAGTCACAAAATGGTTTGAATAAATGCAATGGTATTTTTCTATCGCAAAAAATAAAATAAAATAAAATAAACAACGTCGTCTTACTCTTTTGATATAACATTTCTATTTTCACCCATTTTTTTCATCTTCCTGTCTCTCTATCTCCGACTCTCTCTCTTCTCTCTCTCTTTCACTCATCTCTCTTCTCTCTTTGTTTGTTTGTCTGTCTCTCTCTCTCCCTATCTCTCTCTATGTTTCTCACTTATCTCTCTTCTCTCTCATCTCTCTTCTCTCTTTGTCTTTCTCGTTCATCTCTCTTCTCTCTATCGCTCTCTCTATCTCTCTCGCTCATCTCTCTTCTCTTGTACATCTCTCTTCTCTCTATCTCTCTCATCTATCTTCTTTCGCATCTCTTTTCTCCCTATCTCTCTATTGTTCTATGTCTCTCTTGTTCATCTCTTTTCGCTCTCTCTCTCTCTCTCTGTCTATTTCTTTCTCATCTTTTGTTTCTCTCTCTTTTTCTATCTCTTTCTGTCTCTCTGTCTTTGTCTCTCTCTCCCTCTCTCACTTATCACTCTTCTCTCTCTGTTTCTCTCTTTGTTTGCCTGTCTGTTTGTCTGTCTCTCTCTCTCTCCCCCCCCACTATGTTCGCCTTGCTCACTCTCTCTCTCCCCTCTTCTCTATTTACCGAGCTCCCTCTCGATTTATCGATCCACTACAAGAAAATGCACTTTTAGTGACTACTCTATCTCTCTCTCTGTCTCTCTCTTTTTCACCACCCATCTCCTCTACCACATTCACCACTACTGCAAATGACATTCCACCACCATCAGTACTACCACTGTTGCCACTCCACCTCTACGACTACCATTACTACCACCATTGCCACCACTTCACTGCCACCACCACCACCACCATCACTACTACTGCCACTACTACTACCATTACCTCTCTTCCACCACTGCCACTCCATCTCCTCTACTACTACCACAACTTCACTACTAATATCCTTCGCCATCACAACCACCACCACCATCACCTCTTATGCACCATTTTCACCACTACTGCCACTCCCTCTCCTCTATCACAAAAAATTAGTTCCTGATTTTTAGTAACAAAAAAAAATAGGCCGTAGAAAAATATTTTTCATCGACCACAAAAAATTAACTTTATTTTAACGGAAAATATTTTTCATTAAAATATTACCCTTACTTCTACCAAATAAACAAAAAAAAAATCATTAAAATAAAAATGAAACAAATAAAATTTCAACCTTAGTAACTAAAAAAAATGAAAAAGAAAAAAAGAAAAAAATTCATTAACTACAAAAAAATAAATTTATTTTAACAAAAAATAAACAAAACAACGTCATTCACACCGCCTATCCTAACTCTCCTCTTCTTTTCTTCTTTTTCTTTTCGTTTTCCTGCTCTTTCTATCCGAATTCCCCTTATTTCTTTTCCTCTTTTTGTTTCTCACGATCTCAAATCCCCAATCCTTAAACAAAAAATCCCAATTTCAAAAATCAACAAAAATACTCTCTCCTCTCTCTATCTCGCACTCTCACAATTGCAAGCAGTGGCAACAATAGTAAGAGGGCACGACGACGAGCAGCGAGCGACGACAGCTAGCAGCAGCAGCGGCGGTGAAAAAGCAAGTCCCTAAATCGCTCAACAACTCTTTTTGGTCCACCACTACTCCTCCTCTATCGCCTCACGACTCTTGCCTCGACCACGACAACGCCAAATATCTACATCCACTATCACCACTGCTTTTTCTTCTTCCTCCAAATCTACCGCCTCATCCACCTCCACGGAGTCTCTGGTTTGGCCCTTCGTTTGCTGTCAGATCGGAGCCTCCAAAGTGGAAATCATAGATCCATTGAGCTAAGGTTAAGGCACTCTCTCTCTCTCTCTCTCTATATATATATATATATACACATATATCACTTCTATTTAATTTTAGGTTTTTGGCCATTCCATTGCTGTTTCTTTTCTTCAATTTCTCCAATTTAGTATAAATTAGGCCTATGTGTGCACTACAACAAAAAACACTATTGGCGACTAAAATGGGAATTTTCGTCGCTGAAAGTCGTAGAATTGGCGACTAAAATGGAATTAGTCGCCAAAATTGGTCACTTTTGCCGACTAAAAGAGTTTAGTCGCCGAATGCAATGGTTTTAGCGACTAAAAGGCAGTTTAGTCGCCAAATATAGGGGTCTTAGCGACAAAAAAATTTTTAGTAGCCAAAGGTTAGCGTTTTTGGCGACTAAAACCATTTGGTAGCCAAACGTTAAGGTTTTGGCGACTAAAAACCACTTTGGTCGCTGATTGTACCTGTTTTGGCGACTAAAAACAGTTTCGTCGCTGAAGGTCAAGCTTTTTGGCTACTAAAAAAAAATTAGTAGCTAAAAACAGGTTTATGGCGACTAAAATTCACTTTAGTAGCCAAAGGGGGAGGTTTTTGGCGACCAAAAACAAGTTTAGTCGCCAAAAGGGTAGGTTTTTAGGCGGAATGGTTTTCTTTAGCGACGGAAAATTAATTAGTAGCCCAAAAATAATACAATTGGCGACTAAATAATTTTTTTAGTCGCCAAAAGTGATCTAAAATTTTTTTAATAAATAATTTATTTTTTACATAAATTATATTTGAATATATATAATTACATTTATATATATAGTTGTGTATTAATACTGATGAAAGTAATATATAAATAATATAAGTTGCAATTATAGTCATGAGATGGCTCAGTGGCATAGTGGGGTGGAGTGTATGGTTAAGGTTTGGAACTTGGAGGTCCTAGGTTCGAACCGTGGGAGCTCTGAGGCACAAAGGAATTTTTTTTTTTTTTTTTCAAAAATGCTTTTGGCGACTAAACACTGTGGTCGCCAAAAGATTGAGCATTGCCGACGAAAAAAATAGTCGCCAAATGTATAAATAATAAAAAAAATTTAATTCACTATTGGCGACTAAACTATTAGTCGCCAAAGGTATAATTTTCAAAAATGGAATTGACTATTGGCGACTAAAATCTTAGTCGCTGAAGACCTGTGTATTGCCGACTAAAAGTTTTTTAGTCGCCAAAGGTATTGGCCACCGTCTCTTCGCGACAAACCCGGCGACTAAAAGATTTTGTCGGGGAAAGTGGAAATTTGACATTTGGCGACTAAAAAGGGACTTTTGGCGACTAAAAATTTAGTCGCCAAAGGTGTATTTTCTTGTAGTGGTGGTTGATTATGATAAATCATTTATGGTTTCTATTGAATTAGTGCTTTGCTTTGTGTTTTGGATACCTAATAAGGGTTTTTTATTGTTTATTGTTTCTTTTGAATTTAGTCTCTGTTTCTTTGAACTATTTTTTTTTTGGTCTCTTGTAGTGGTTGTAGATATATTGGTAGACTAGCAATTATTATTGTATTAACTACTGAAAAAATTAAAAAAGAAAATAAAAATATTAACAATTGGACATGTTGATTTTTTTGTGCCATAGTTGCTCAACACATATATATTTATTGAAAATTTTATTTTGTTAATTGATTTTTTTGTGCCATAATGTATTTATTTCATAGAATTTTGAGATATATTAATACTGTAATTGTGGGGATTTTCTACTGTAACAATAAATTCTTATGTACTTCCTTTGTTAGGAATTTGTTCCATTTATATAAATTGGTTCTATTTTCTGATTCAATGATGCAATTATTAATTCAATTTTATTTAATTCAAACTCAAGTTTCTTTAATTCTCATCTTAAAAATTAAACAATTTTGTTCCCATATATTAGTTAATTGAATTCTTTTCAAGATCACCTAAATATTTTCCTCAAACTTTTCACTTCCTTGGTTTTTATGTGGGCATAAAGGGTTCTACTATATTTTAAATATAATATACTCCACATATACACATTGACATTTATTGTGCCTGTTTGATGCAGCTTAAAAGCTGCTTATTTCAGCTTTCAGCTTAATTTAAGCTATTTTGATGTGTTTGGTTTAGCTTATAGCTTATAGCTTTTTGGAAGTCAGAAATCAACTTATTCTTTGAGTGGGGCAGGAGATACTTAATTTATAAATCAAAAATCAGCTCATGTTCATAGTTATAAGTTATAAGCTGTTTAGGCATAAGCTATAAGCACTTTCCCACAGCTCTACCAAACAGGGCTATTATTCGAATACACATGGAAAAGTTCATGCATTTATACCTAACTATAAGTTCAACAACGATATCTATCAAAATTAGCAAACAAAATAGCACACAAAAATTAATTTATTATTTAGTGCTTCATGAAACTAACCTTTTGTTTGTGGCCATATTATGCTACACAAATTAGTTTTTAATTAATTTCAAAGTTAATTATAGACTGCCATTGAAGTTGCCTACATGCACAAGCCACTTTCAAGGCTACCAAAAAGGTGTCTATTATTTTCTTGTATAGCTGCACCAAATTCCAATGACCTCCCCTACACTCCATAGAACAGTTCCACATTTCTTATTGTTTAAAATGATTAAGAATTTAGTCCTTGATATGGATTTTTTTAGTCTGTGTAGAACTGTGGTTTGAATTTGTGTTTGGTTGTTTCTATTGCTCATATTAGGTCAAGGATTTTGGTAATTTAAATATATAGAGATTTGGGTTATAAGATTTGTTGGAGAATTCTAGCCAACTCTAGGTTGTGTAGAAATAGGTGTTTGCTAGTAAATTTACAAATTAAAAAACATGACGTAAAGGTATTTGAGAATGGCGTAACATCAATCTTTTGTGTATATATTTCCTTTACATCCATGTTGAATGTATCTAACCTGATCTGATGCAACAGATGTGATTTTGCCCTAATTGGGAGGTATGTTGTGTAAGAACTTAAACACAATCTAATTTTGATGTCGCATCTGATTAGATTATGAAGTCAAATCTCGAATTTGAGTTCTATGACTTATCTAAAACAAGCATTGTTTAGATGATTACTTATCACTTTCCCATCTTCTTACTTGTAGTGATGGACAATTACAATAATGCCCCTCAATGTCGTTATGGCTTAAGTCCTTCACAAATAGACATGTTCAAGACTGAAGATAATCCCATCTGCCAACAGTCTGAAAGTGTCACAAAGGTTTATTCTCTTTACTTGTTGCTTTATTTTTGTTCACTTTATATCTAAGTGGCTATATGGTTGATAAATTTTATCAATCTTGCTGTTGTTACACCATAATAAGTTATTTTTCTGTCTGATTGCTACAGATTGTGCTAGCAGTAACTGAGCTTCTTGTTGCTCAGTTCATGTGGTTTGATTATGATAACCAATCGAAGCCCATATATCGGTATATAAATTCTTCTGGGACTCAGGTTAATACTTGAACGTACAGCATTTCTCCCATTTTTGTCTCATTTTTTCTTCTTGTTATCAGTCTATTTATTTCATGAGGTAAGTTCTTGACAAGGCAAATCTTGTGACAATTATACTTGCTTGTACCTCATAATGTCCTTACCAATACCTTTTAACCTAGTTTTTCATCACAAAAATGCTAATTCTTCTCTATTCCCAACTTAATATCCATGGCTTAAATTATTCATTGTAAGTAGTGTTTTTTGTATTTCATTCTTGCGCTCTGTTTTAAACTTTCTGGTCTATAAATTAATCGTCTTCATTGGAGACTTAATAATTTATACGTGTAAAAGATTTTTGGTTACTGCTTCTTGACCATTAATGTAATATGCCAAGATGGATTGGTCTCTCTCTCTCTCTCTCTCTCTCTCTCTCTCTCTCTCTCTCTGTCTCTCTGTGTGTGTGTATAGTAGAGCAATTTATTAATAATAAAAAGGAACATGGCATAGTCAAGCTTTGTTATGTAATTTGCCCATAAGTTGGTCAATGACATTTTCTAAATTGAAAGGCTTTAATTGAAAATTTTACAATATCATGTTGGTTTTGGAGGCATATTTTATAACTAATATGGAGCCAATCAAGTTTTGGGAGTTTGGTTCACTTGTTCTCGAAGGTCTTGGCTATGAAAGGTACTCATCTTCTTAAAGGTCCTAAACTTATTATAGAACCTGTGTAGGCAGCTGTGTCCCAAGTTTCCTAAGTTGTTCTACAATAGAAGAAGGTAATTCGGTGTATTGAACCTCATCTTCGTGAAACTATTGATTTAGGAAGGTTGTTCTAATTGTCATAATTCTTTTAAGCTTAATTCAATGAGCTAGTGAATGTTTATTCAAAATTCAAATACGCATATCCTCAGAATAGGTTCTTATTAAATGAAGTCCCTAAAAAAATTATCTTTATAATTTAGTTTTATGTTATTAAGCTCAAGCATGTTATCAGGTTCTCGGTATTGGAGTTAGAGCCAGATTTCGGTTTAGGCAAACTAGTTCCTTAAGAAACTTAGAATTCAAAGTGTTGACGTCCCAAAATCACCAAACGGCGTCGGATTAGCACAATACTTGGCACACACGACCACCTTGGCACGAGAGACTTCTGGAAGAAAACGGGACTCAAATCAGGTTCCCGATTTGGGAGTTAGAGCCAGATTTCGGTCTAGGCAAAATTATTTACTTAATTATCTTTGTAATTGTATAGTGGTTAAATTTTTATGTTTTTTTGTAATTAACATATTAATACATAATTATATTGTCATTAATTATTTTTATTTTTTGTTTTCAGATATTTCCTTAGTATGAGTTTGCTTCTTGTGAAACGCATGCTTGTGAAGAATGCTGCTAACTTTTGTTTTTGTTACCCATAGAGAATGATGAGGAAAACTTTTCTTTTTGTTTTATGTCATTTTGATTTCTGAACAACATTATATATTTAAACATTATATATGTATTATGAAACATTATGTAGTGGGGTAATTTTGTTGATGTGTAATTATGAATGTAAGAATATTTTTATTAAAGATAAATTATTATTTCTATACAGGAATTTTTATATTATTATGCAATTATTGGTTTATTTTTCATTTTTTTTATTTAATATAGGTAATTTTAATAATTTTATTATAGTTTTTTTTTTTGGCGACAGCACCACACAATCGCAAAAAACATTAGAACTAAAATTTATTTTTTTGGCGACATAAGCAATGCCGTCACAAAAGAAATTGGCGACAGAGGTCATGCTATCGCAACAAAAAAACATTTCACGACAGCATTTTTTTTGCCGTCTCAAATAAAACTTTTAGCGACGGTACAACATTGCCGTCACAAAAGGTCTCAATTTTTTACATATTATAGGCGATAGTAAAATGCCGTCGCAAAAAAACGGCGACGGCATTATGCTGTCGCTAAAACGTTTTAGCAACACCCTCTGTTGTGACCCCCCTTTGCCGTCGCTAAAAGTTTTTTGAGACGGCATTAGGTGTATTATGCTGTCGCAAAAAAATTGAAATTTTTGTAGTGAAACCCATAATGAGCGATAATGACTCTAAATCTAAACTTGATAACGAGCTATGATGACACTTTCTTTGGTAATTTCCAGGGGTCTAACTAGAAAGTTAGTCCCTTAGAAGTAAATGCACCAGTGATAAAGAGAAATGACAAACAAGAAATTGTGTTTAGCATAGGAGAGAAGTAATGCCTTGGTAATGAATTTCCGAATAGATTAAACCATTAAGCAAGGAAGGTCTCTTACTTATGATTGAACAACAACCTTTTGTTAAACACAACTCTTTAATCAAAATGAACAAAGAATGGAGGGAGGTTGCAGAGATGATTATGCAAAGGTGAATACAAGTGTATGAACATGTATGGAAGCTATAAAAAAAAAGTCCAAGAAAGGACTATCAACTCAAATGGATTAAAGGCTACACACATGTGGACTTACAACAACACATCTACAATATTTAAAGCATATTTAAACATACAAAATAGCACTGAAACAACCCTAAAAATAGTGCTGAAAATTGAGTTTTCGAAGGGAAAAAGTTAGGAAAAATAGGCTAAGACCAAGAGGTTTCAAACAATCAACGGGCCTAAGGAATGGTGGCTAACCCCTCCTCTTTTTGGTGACTCAAAACCACATTTTAAGCTGAAATAAACTCTGAAAAAATAGTAGCTAAAAGTAAAGAAACAAGTGGGAAGAATAAGGATATAAGCTATGGGATAAGGTTCAAGAAATGGTGGTTAACCCCTCCACCTTTGGTAGCTTTTAAATCATAAGTTTCAACACTTAAAACCAATCCAAAATAGTGTATAAACAACAAGAAAAGAGAAGAGAAGAGTAGTGTAAACAAAGCAAACGATGGCAAAGGTTATACCTCTTGAAGAGAAGATACCCTTGGTTAAGCAAATCGCAAGGCAAACACTCTCAAGAGCTGAAATTTAGGGTCAAGAATCTCAGCAAGAAGCTTTGAGTTTTTGGTTTAGGAAATGTATGGAGAGTGTATGTATATTTGCAAGAGAGGGTGGTAGTGTGTTGAACAAGGTTTGGCTCTTAGAAAATTTTCTAACCTAAGACCATGAGGGATGGTCAAGTATTTATAGAAAAAAACCTTCTCACGTTGGAAATATCTATAATAAGCCAACTAGTGCAAGGCATGCACATGAGGGGACAGCTAGCTGGCTGTAAAATATTTGGCTGCCGGGAAACATGGCCGGCCGGCTATGAAGAGGGCTGGCCGGCCAACCAAAAATGGCTTACCGGCCAATTGTTAGCCAGCAGGCCTCTCGGAGGGTCAGGGTGGAAAAAAATAGGTTTTGGTTCAAAGGAGGTGCAAGGTTTAGGTTCTGAAGTTCAAACGAAACCTTTTGCTGAAGAAATTGAATGATTGTACAGTGTAACATTTCATCATCGAGTGTTCAACGTGAGGCACCTATGTCTTGAGGGTGGTAAAAAATGAGATGTCTACAGTTGCCCCTCTTTCACAGAGCTCGAAGTCATAAAATGGCGTGAGTGAATGTCAAAGCCCAAAGACGATCCATTTTGACAAGGCTGCAAGACTTGGGCAATCAATCAAAATGTAAATGCAATTGGTTGAACTCGAAAGCTGCCTACGACCTTTGCAAGGAATCAAAACAGCGTAGTTCAAGGGCAAGATGTAAATGATACACAATGCAATGCATTTGAAAACTGGACTTACACTCTTCGCGAAACCGGTTATTTTGAAAATTCATGATCATGCAAGACAATGCAGTGAACAATAATAAGATGACAGCTTCTGAATGAAAACCTTAAATTAAAAGAAACCTAACCGTGTTCCACATGAAAAGGAAGTAAGTCAAAAACAAATCCAAACACACTTCACGTGAAAGAAGGGACAATGGTGTAACAAACAGGTATATCTCACTGTATTTCATACGAAGAGAGGAAATGTTTTAACCAGGGAACAAGAGTGATGTAACCAACAGGCGTATCTCAACGTATTTCATACAGAAAGATGAACAGTTTTAACCAAGAGAAAGATACAAGCCAAACTACGTTTCACGTAGAGAGGGTACAAGGCACAAGCCAAATCACACTCATATGATAAGGGTAAAGGGATACAAGCCAGACTGCACTTCGAGCAAAAAAGGAAAAAGCTCTATGCCAAACAACACTTTGCGTAGAAAGCGTGGAAGGTGCAAGCCAAATCACACTCACGTGATAAGGAGAAGGAGTACTAGCCAAACTACGCTTCGTGTAGAAAGGGTAGAGGGTGCAAACCAAATCACACTCATGTGATAAGGGGAAGGATATAAGCCAAATCGTACTCACGCGATAAGAGGAAGGGGTACTAGCCAAACTACGCTTCGCATAGAAAGGGGAAAAGCTCCATGCCAAACTACGCTTCGCGCAGGAAGGGTAGCACCTGAAACAAACATGTAACTCCCCACTTCGAGACTAAAAGTTTGACCCTCACAAGGACCTCGAGGCCTAGCCAGCTTAGTTCTAATACTGATATCGTCCTTGTCCGGACAGATAAGGTTGAGTCTGACTGGATTCTAGAACACCCAAAGGAATCCCAAGCTGGGTACAAAAATGCCTAATATGGCCCGGCTAGTTATGCGTACAGTATGCAAGTGGTCCCCTATTACATGACTGGTTCAAAGTCTAAGAAAGCAAAGATGTTGGCGACGGCTCACCCTATGAACACCCAGTTGCCCCAAGCCTCAACTAACTAAATGGTTCCAGTTGTGCAGTTATTGGTTGAGTTAGTAACCTTGCCCTCCTCCTCTGATTCTTACTAGGTCTACCATGACCCCAAGCTGCACAAGTTGCCAAAGTGGTCTCCTCCCCATTTTGTGCCATTATTAAGATCGTGACCTCCACATGAGTTGTTGTTTCAACAAGCACACAATAACTCCTATGCCAAGACCCAGCAACCTTTTCTCGGATATCGTCACACAACCTTCTCTCAAACTCCAAGCAACAAAGCGCCTTAGTTTTCACCAAGTACAAAAGCAAACCTCAATAGGTTAGTAAACAATGCTTCAAACTGTGCCAGAGGTGTACTACCTTGGTGCAACTCCACAAATTGTTTCCTCAATTCTTCCCGTGTGGAAGGAGGAAAATCTTCTTTTCCCTATCTAGACATTCTTTTCATGAAAAACACAACAAACTAAGCACCAAATAAACACGTCCACAACCGAGTTTCATAACTCAAATAACAATAAATACCACTATATTTCATTCCACGAAAGCACTTAATTACATAATTACATACGAATTATACTCTTAAGATAGAATTTGTTCCACAAAACCCTATTAGAACGAACATTGATCAAGTGCCCTTCTAATAAGACCTCCAAGTGTTTAATAAACACAAAGAACATCTTAAGGATCTAATTCCATACCCACTTAGTCACATAAGCATGTTATCATTCAGCATACTAGGCATACAAACATCACTATTAAACGAGACAAATCCATTGTGGTAATAACCATTTCCCACGTATCTAAAGTATTCAAACCCGGTACACTTTGATACCAAGTTGTAACGTTCCAAAGAAAAATATACATTCTACTCCATTAAAACACTCATAAAACATGTAGAAACTTGTCATTTTATACATTTATACAACATTCTTACATCAATGGC